ATGTCTGTTAGTCCCGTGTGTTCCTCAGAGAACTGTGAGGTCGTGGCAGGACTTTGATTTCTGCCTAAAAGCCATCTTCTTGTTCTTGCGTGCAACCATGCGGCCCAGAAACCTCTTGGCCTTCTTGCCGATGCTCTCTCTGCGTCTGCAGTTGGCCATGCGTCTGGCGTTCTCCTCCTTGCTGTCTTTCCTCAAGCGGATCTGTCTGACGATGCCCTCGAAAAGGTCCTGCACATTGTGGTGAAGAGAGGCAGACGTCTCGATGAACTTGCAGTCGAATACCACTGCACAGGCGCTCCCCTCTGAGATAAAGAATATGGAAAAAGGAATATTAGTGCTTTGAATGTATGTACATTTAGAAAAACATAGAGGCTTAAGTAGATTTAGGTTGAACGTGAGAAATCCTATAGTGATCATATTTTAAAACTTTAGCTTAAGATAGCTGTAATATTTGAATGCATGCCTTTTTTTCAATAGTTTTAAGCTTTAAATGATAAATATTGCATTTTTTCAAGTAAAGAAACGTATTTACCTATAGCTTCCCTGAGCTATAACACATGATCTTAACAAATCTGTGACCCATTTAAGGTTCAAAATGTATTTATTCATTCTAACTTACCATCTACTGACACCTCTCTTGACCGCACCAGGTCGCTCTTGTTGCCCACAAGGATTATGGGAATGTTCTCTGACTGCCTTGCCCGGCGCAGCTGAATACGCAGCTCTGACGCCTTCTCAAAGCTTGCTTTGTCTGTCACTGAATACACGATGATGTAGGCGTCTCCCATCCTCATACACTGATCCTTCAGCCACTGACTGTTATCCTTCAGGAAGGAAGCAGAGACAGAGTTTAGCCTCAAACATGGCTGATTTCATATTGCAATATCCATTAATCAATTTCAGTGGAGCAAACATTGCATAAATAATATATAACTCACCTGTTCCCAGATGTCATACAACACAATGGATGCATCTTCATCATCTACCACCATAGATCCGTCATACGTGTTTCCTGTGAAAGATAAGAGGGAAAATGGTATTACACACTGACAGAGGAGCAGAGCACACACTGATTTTAACACACTTTTCACTTTAAAGTGTACACATTGATGCAGAAAGCTGATCATAGTTCGTGATCAAGCCGTTATTGGCCTTTTATATTTTCCATTCCTTTGTGCTAAGATGCATTTCTGACAGCTGTACTACTGCGGGCAGTGCTGGTGCCTCGCTGTAGATGGAAATAGCAAAAATCAATTCATGTACACTCTTGCCTGCAATTTGTTTCTTCTAATGCACCAGCTTAACTTTATGTCTGTCCCTTATCAATTACAGAGTTTATAGGGCTTCATGTGGCTTTTATGTATTTTTTGTTATTGTGTTTATTTCTTGAGTGCTGTTGTTTCTTTCTAAAAAATTATGAATAGGATAATAATTGAATAAACCTTTGACCTCAAAGCAAAATTAGTAATATATTTGCATGTGAATTGTTCAGAATTATGGAGACTAAATTAATATTTCCACTTCTAATTAGTGTATTTATAGACAAAATACTTCTGGATTATGTGTGTCAATGTGTGTTTGTGTGTATTGAGGTTGATTACTCATCCTCAGCATCATCACCATTTACCTGCTTCATCGCAGTCGTGACCAGCATCCTCAACTCCTCCAAAGACGCGCGCCAAGCTGGACTTGCCGACTCCGTGCTCCCCAAGGAGAACCACTTTGTAGATCTGGGACTCCGTCTCGCTGCCGGTGGAGATCACGGAGTCGGAGGAGTCCGACGCGTAGCTGCCTCGGTGCTGCTCGCTCGGGGAGTAGGACGTGCAGCGCAGGAGGTTGGACAGGTCATCGGTCTGCCCCGTCTGTGGCATCGTGGCGCGCAGATCACGGTCGTCCACTGGCATGCTTCTCCTGTGTAGGTTTGGTACATTCATTGGAAACGGCATGCTTCCTCTTCTTTTGTCCATGTTCCGCAATTTGTCACCCTTGTTCAAAGTCATTTTGCTTACCGAAGATCTGTGGACAGATGTGGCATGCGTAAATGTCTGCTCATGTGTTTATTAACATTTAAATATAACTCACGGACACACGTGTAAAAGTCTAATTAGTTAAAAATAATGCTTCAACGTCATTGTATTTTATGGTATAACATAACATAGGCTGAAATAATTAATTATATGTCTTTGTTTTCTGAAATCTCAACCTGACCTGACCACATGTCCAATACTACTCCCCCCAAAAATGCATAAAAAGACTAAAGCTTAACATTTGTCACCATATTAAAGACACTTACCCGGTGCAGGGAATAAAATCCAGCGAAGCCGATCAAATAATCCTTGATTTCAAGAGTTGTTGTAGCCGAAAAAGCGGTTTTGTTTGAGTCTGATCAGAGTCGGTGCCCAGGATATTTATATAGGACTGGGAGTGACGTAGGCAGGGATTCGCCCCAGAAGATCACGTCTCCGCTTTTTATAGTGGTGCGTAACGACACCATCATACAGAGGAGGGGTGAGAGCTGAGGAATCTCCCTTCCGCAGCGCCAAATGGAGAGTTACCTCTGCGGGGGCGGCCAGAAACGATTCCTTGAAGAGGGGAAGCCCACTCAAAGCTTGAGTGATATAAATATTGAATGTTCATTTATGAGATACATTTAGAGACAGTGAAAGGATATCCACATGATGAAATATTTTACTGTGTAAAAGTGCTTGATGCAGAGACCAGGGGAACGCTTTTATGAAATTATAATGGCTTGTCTTGTTGGAAATTGATCAGAGCTCCATGGTCGCTGCAAGGTTGAGGTCAATACGATCAAAGCACATATTGGACATATTGTTATTATACGAAGGAGTTTCATACATTATAAAGGTATATCACGTGAAATATTTGGTGTTATTTCCATAGTCTATTGCTGCTCTTGACTAACAAAACACTTGAATTTATCATTGCATATGCAGACAAAGGAATACTTACACAATGAAACAGACGTTGGCATGCATTTATCAATCAGTATATCTTTCCATCCACCTTGCTATTTGAAAAAAATAAAAAGGCTGAACACACAACCATCTTTTCTTGCACTTTCCGAATTCTTCACAGCTGAAGGGTCTGACCTACAATAATGTATGTTTGTAATCCATGCCTTAGTTGAATAATGCAAAACGATTTCAATGAAAATATCAAGGCTGTTTGATACATCAATAGGAACAGATCTATATGTCCAAAATGGGGTTCAAATACATTCAGATCAGATTTCTCTATGAGCCATTGCATGTGTTATTTATGTTTAATCGTGCATCTGACATCCTTTTTTATATATATTTTCTCGCACACAATGAATGTCATTTTCCAGTTGAGGTCTCAGACTCTGGATGGTGTGTTGGTGCCCTCTTGTGGCTTCAGTTCTCACATTACAGTTGAACCTTTCAAACTCATTGCGTTGGTGTATGTCCAACATCATCATGTATTTTCTCCCTTGTCCCTTTGTAGGAAACGTGAATAGATAAACAATACAAACTATAAACAGATGTGCTATATGTTTTAGTTGTATTGATGTTTGCTTTCGTAATCTGTTTATCACAGTATGGCTTGTATATGTGAATGTGATGGCTTATGCATAACAGCTGCATAGCTTCACATTCAGCTGCAGTAATTAGGACTGCTTCAGCTGCTATATATTATTCTTTAAAGGAAATTATGTCATAACAAATGGCCATTGGAATTACCATTAATTTAAGTGAATATACACATAGCCGGACTAATTTATCATACCTCAAGAAAAGCATTTTGGTTATGGAAGCTCTAATTTCCAGTCATATATAATTGCATTTGATTATGGATGTAAGTATTGTATAAATAAAGTATATAATTATGTTCAAATTATCTCTAGAGGGTATAGCAAGTAGCTTTTTGTGTAGATCTGCAGCTATTGTCTTTGCAGGCAGTGCCAAAAATATTCAGCATTAGTATGTATGCACCAGATCCTGGTTAATTCGATCGAAAAGGCATTTAAACATGCTGTACTAGGTGGGTATTTTCCTTTTGTTCTTATACTAAGAAATCCTAGCAAGACTTTTCCAAATGTGTCATAGATCCTACATTATTTATATTATTATGGGAAAATGGATAGCTGAAGGATGTTGAGCAATGAGTGAAACTACTTTCTTATTTGAATAACAAAAATGGGATATCGAGACAATTCATTTATATGTCTTATACTATGTATTGAGACCTTTTTGTCTAGTATTCTCTGTATACTAAATCTGTATTATGTTCTTTTGTTTGATTTAAAATAAAAAACAAGACACAAAATGGAAGCTGACTAATTGTTCCTCTTACAAGATAACATTTTGTATGGGGTATTAAGGAAATTAAGATGGATTTAATATGCACAACCTAATTCTCTGGTTATTTAAGTAGAATTAACCTTTCAGACAATCTTTTCAGTAGTTCAACTCTGGACATGCAATGTCGCTTCTTAGATAAATAAAAAAGAAAAGCATTGGATTTTTTCAATACTTCTCATATCATGTATCCTCGTTGTATAGTGGAGTGATACAATTGTGCATTGATTTGGAGTCATTATGTCACATTATATGTAATCAATTGAAAAAAGAATCCAATAGTTTCATTATTTATAAAGATGTTCATATAAGATAGTAGAAGCACTAAAGTCCAATTCATATGTTATGCTCGTCCAGTGTAGTTTTACAATGCTGCATTGGTTTGTAGTCTTTGGGTCACATGACTTGGAAGCTATTGAAAATAATGGCGATTTTTAAATTTAAAAAAAACAGCAGCAATTGATAACAATATTCGCATAAAATAGATGAAGGCATTCAATCAAATAGAAAGAGGCGTGTCTTCTCCGTCCAGTGTAGTCATTATATCAAAGCGATTGAAAAAGCTCCAATTGATTATTTTAATAAAAAAGAAATATAAACATAAGTTAATTTCAGCTAATTGTCGTGATCGCAATAAATTAAACATCTTCAATGGCAAAACAAATAAAAACGTCAGGAAACCGGATGTCAACCTCTTGACTTGATATTGCGCATGCGCACGTCTCTCGTGTGTTCGACCTCTACTACAGACAGGTAAGAGATAACCTCCTCAGTCACTAGCTGTGTGAGTTTAACATTTAATCGTGTCGCTTCTTTGTAACTCTGTGTTTCTTTTCGCTATATTTACAACAGCAATGCTTAGCTCCTAGGATTTAACAACTAGCTTGTTTTTCCGCGACATTGCTCGGTTTTGCAGCTAATCTTGACCTTACTTGTATGTGTCCACGTAATTTTGCACACTGTGTACTTTCTCATTTAGACAACTAGTTACACAGTTAACCAAGTCAAACTGTTCATTGTTGTTATTCAATGCATTTCTTTGTTTTGTGTATTGTTTTCTACAGACTTCTGACACTGAATCAACGCCAGCTCCTTAGCTTGACCTGACCACTACTCATCATAATGTATGCCTGTGCTAAATTCGTCTCCACGCCCTCTCTGGTGAGTGAGTCTGTTTCAATGGATTGTGCTTTCATGACATATTGCAACAAAAGCTGCAAGTCTGTGTTCATGCCTTCATGCCAGAGCAAACCAGCTGCATTCAAGTCGCTAACGCTAGCACTCAGCCATGTAGCCGTCTTTGACCCATGCTAAAGTCAGCTAGTGCTCACACCTGCAAGGACGTCCTTGTTTTGAACATAATCAAGCCTGAGCATAGCCATTGCATCCCCATCCTTATCTATCTACATTCAAACATATGATGCAGTTAATTGAGAAGCTCCCATATTTAAAGTGAAATCTGAGCTGTATGAGCAGAATGAATCCGAAGCCACAATATAATGGATCTCTGTTGTCTAGGAAGAGTTGCATTTATAATTGATCATATTTAGTTGTGGAAAGCAATTTGGTAATTTACAAGTAAATGTTGATTTGCTACTATTTAACTTGAGTATTTAGAAACAAAAAATGTACATTTTAAGTTAATTTTCCTTTTTTTTTATTATTAGGTTTTTACTTATGTTTTATTGTATCATCCAATTCTGATTCTCAGTTTACAATACAACCAACCATTGTTGCAGATTAAAGTACTAAAAGAAAGTTGTTACATAATTTCCACCTTTTCATTTAAAGTACTGCTTACATATTAATTAATACATCAAAAATCATGATCGTAAAACTCTAACAACAACCACTCTGCATTATGAATATTTGTACTTATGTGAATATTTGAATGCAGGACTGCATTGTAATGCTGTTCTATTATATTGTATTATATATCATTTTAAGTAATTATTTTAATACTTCTTCCTCATACAACCACATTTTTTACTAGCCAAATGTCTCTGTTAGGATGAGCCCACATGCTTTTAATTCTGACCTCAGGAGATTAGATATATTCTTAGCACAACACAATAATTATACAGAAATGTATCGGCATGACATTTTTGTGCAGTATATTATCAGTTTGATTTTCTCAACTACATGTGTCTCTTTCTTGTTTCTTGGAACAGGTCCGTGCTGGATCTCGGGCACTGTGCAGACCACTCTCTGCAGCGCTTGGCACAGATGCCAGGAAAGCAGAGGTAAGCAGCTATCAGTACTGTGCATTAGAACTGATTTATTGACCTTGAGTGTTCACAGAGGAAGGGCACTTAAGAGACAAGTCTGTATTTTATAATGACATTGTTAAACATTGCTACTCAACAAAACTATATCTCATGCAGATATCATTTAATGTCCCCCAACAAGTACAACAACAGACTGGTGAGGTGATAGGATTAGAACTTAATGTAGCAAGCCTAGTTTCTCATTGAGTACGACCATTGGATAATGTTGTTATCAGCAAAAGCAGTAAAGACACCTGCATCAAAAATAAACTTAAGCTGGCTAGCCTCTGTAGCTAAAATTATTTTTGCAACATTTCCCTTGCATCTCTAGAGCTGGACTAATGTTCACGGCATTTTCATTTGATATGAAACCTTCATCAATTCCATAGTTCATTAAAGACAGATACAGGCTCAACATTTGGCTGTAGAAATTAGGAGATCTTATAAAAACTGATCCGTTTTAGAACACGTCTTTTACATATAAGCATACAATGTTTAGTGCTGATTTGTGATCCTGTACTATTTTGTTGTGTACTAACCTGACTTATTTTTGCATATCAGACTGCCTCCCTCCTGGCCCCTCAGAGCAGCGTAGCCTCCCAGCAGCAGATGGCAGTGCGGGCGTTCCAGACCAGCGCTGTGAGCCGTGACATCGACACTGCTGCAAAGTTCATTGGAGCAGGAGCTGCCACTGTGGGCGTAGCTGGATCTGGAGCTGGAATTGGAACAGTGTTCGGTAGTCTTATTATCGGATATGCCAGGTAAATCAAATAATCTGTCATTTTAAAACTTCTCCAACAAGAGGCGAAAGTCTCATTTGTCATAAAAAAACACTGTCTGTATAAAAGCATTCTTCAACATTGTCAAGGGGTTAATAATATAATTATTTTGTCACATAAGTCCTTGGGCTGTCTCCTGAATGAATGGCAGTTGTATTTTTAACAATTTTTACCTCCAACTTCTGACAGCTGCCTCTTTTTCTCCACAGGAACCCCTCTCTGAAGCAGCAGCTGTTCTCTTACGCCATCTTGGGCTTCGCTCTGTCTGAAGCTATGGGTCTCTTCTGTCTGATGGTTGCATTCCTTATTCTGTTTGCAATGTAAAGCAGTTAAGCATTTACTGCAAAGGGATACATCATAATGTTAATAACAATTAGCAGCTTGAGTTGCTCTTGAACGGTACGATAATGTCAGCTTATCGCGTTGCCTATTTTTGTTCATTGGTGCTTCTTAAGGTTGTGAACTCACTGATGTAAGAAACTCTGGCAAAACAAAATCATTGTAAATGATGGGTTTTGCCATGATATTGTATATTTAATAAAAAATGTTTGTGTTAAACATTCAACCAACACCTGAAGTAACATTTTTAATTCATCATTTGTGTTTGTGAATTTGTAAATGGTAGTGTGTATGTTTTTAGGGTTCTTGTTTTCAAGGTGACTCTGTTTTTCTCCTAATATAATATAAAGGAGAGGCTCACAGTTACACAAACTCTGTAAAATAATTCAAACCTAAGTTTCGCAGCTGTGATGCAGCATTTCCCTCAACAGTCCTGGTCAATTTAGCCTACTACATGGGTCAAGTTTTAGGATCTCCTCTGGTTTGTCTTTGTTACCCTGAAGTAGAACAAACATGATTATCAAAAATATAGTTAACCTTTAATATTAACAAACCCTTACTGTGACCATATACTTAAAACATGTTTACTACAAATTGACAGAGAATAAAATCAATGTCTGTCACCTGTTATCCAGCACTGGGTTCAGGTTGCCAGTATTGTCTGCTATGTCCAGAATAATTAAAAAGTGTTTGCCAGAGACTTAGCAATTGTTTGAATCCAGTATTTCCAGCACGACAAACCTAAATCATGTCTAGAGAAGAGCAGACGTTAGGCCTATGGGAAACATTCAAATCAGACGTTGGTATCATGGTCACACATTTTGAACATCCTGTGCAGGGGGAACACACATGTATTTGAAACACTTCTAGCAGGAGCAGCTTCATTGCTTATGTTTAAGCGATCACCTGTTAAAGTGAATGCATGTAAGTACTCTATAATCATACTCAGAGGTGGGAGAAGCACTCAGATCTTGTACTTAAGTCAAATTAGAGGTACCAGTGCAGTGTGGAGGGATACTCCGTTACAAGGAAAAGTCCTGCATTTAATATGTTACTCAAGTAAAACAAAAAAGTATTGGCACCGAAACATACCAACAGCAACGTACCCATTATGCATATTGCCCCAGTTCAGAATAATGCATATGTTTTGATCATAATTATTGATGCATTAAAGTGTTATCAAAGCTGGTAAAGGTGCAGTCATTTTATTAAGTGTAATTACGTGTATGCTGCCTGCAGGGCAATAAATAAATCAACATGTGCAAAGTAACTAAAGATATTAAATAAATGTAGTGGAGTAAAAGTACACGTTTTAGCTCTGAATTGTAGTGTGGTAGAAGTACAATGTAGCAACAATCCTCATTAAAGTACAAGTCTCTCAAAATTAGCGAGAAAATAAAAATCTGTAGTCTGCAAAGCGGAACTAAAGACAGAGTCAGAGTTGAGGGAGGACAGATTTGAGCAACGCACGATGTTTGAGTTTATGAAAGAAAGTCAAGTAATAATGAATATATTTCGACATGTCAGTTAGAGATTAAAATAATTAACCGAATGTATAATTATATGCTCTCAAGACATTGTTTTTTACTGACAATATGCCTGAAACCTCGGAGGATAGCGCCGAAAGCGTTGTGCTTTGTGAGCTGTTACACAGGTCCTGACGGTCCTGACGCTGATCCACAGCTCAGAAAGCGAAGAGGAGCAAACAAAAACCAGGTGAACAAACACGGAAAGATGCTATGTTTTTGGATGGATGGCTCGGGCAACATTACTCGAAAAATATATTGTCTTCTTGAGTGTCTTAGATTTTTCGCCACCTGTCACAGCCCACTGTGTTTAAATAACACATTTGACATCTTGTCAGCTAAAGTTTTGGTTTGAATTGTACCTTCATAAAACCCCTGTAGTTCATGAAAGTTTGGTGGTCAAATGTGTTTCATAAGGGGGGAGGCAATTTATTTGTTTGCCCATTAGATGGAGTAGTACGAGAAGTTCAAAATATGTTCGCTGAATTATTAAATTATTTAGATAACATAAGGATTGGTTAATTAAGCGCATTATTGATTTATGTCTTCTAATTACTTGTGTTTGTATTGTATTTATTTTTGGATTTGCAGCTTATTGTTATTATTTTCTTAAATGTTTCTATTTGCAATCTTATAGCCGGCCTCCTTTTGGCCCTAAAAAAACTTATGCTAAGGGCCCCACCTCCCTGACCTGACCCGACCCGTGACCCCTGTAGATCATTTGCTATTGCCACACAGTTACACTTGACACCCCAACACTGTACAGTGTTGACCTTTAATATCCACCAGGGGTAGCTAGTGTAAAACAATGGCTGTTATTGTTCCCATTTACACAGGAGATTTCACTGAGATAGTGTCCAGATGAAACTAACCTAAGCGCTCAGTGCTTAGATGCTTTCTTATTTCATGCCTCTGTGGGATTAATTTATTCACCACAGTTTGTTTGTAACAGGTTACAAAAAGGCGCAAAAAAGAGAGACCTTCATGTCAGCCAGTCCTGGACAACTTTGAACAGCAGTACAGTCAGGAACTCGGAGACCTGTGGCCATCTGCAAGGTAAATGTTCTCCTAAAATATATTACAGCATGTACATGGACCACACTAGTACCCTTCCTTAATCTTGATTGCTCGTTTCCTACAGAGCAGTGCTCCTGGACCCTCACTCTTGGCAGTATGGCGTCATGCTGAACCGCTTCAGCGCTGTGACGGGCATCACACAGATCCTCCAGTCTCAGGGCTTTTATACATTGCTGCCTCAGAATAGTGTCTCCCCGCTCATTTGTAATGACTTCTCAACAATCTCCAATTCTAAACACCAAGCAGGAAAAGACTCTCCGTTTCCACCTGACTACATTTCAAAGTTCCCTCCTAATGACTTTCCTCTCCAACCTGACAGCAGCTCCCATGTGCTCCCTCAAGACCTTAAATCAGAGCCTTCACTGAGTTTACCCCGTTCTACATTACAGTGTTACATCCACCCGTATCCACTGCGCTTCCCCTCTCAGGCTCACAGGCCCGGCCAGCTGAAGCAGTACTACCTCCTGAATGCTGCCTCCCTGCTGCCAGTGCTGGCTCTGAACGTCACAGATGGGGAGAAGGTTTTGGATCTCTGCTCGGCACCGGGGGGCAAAGCCTTAGCCATAATGCAGTGTGCCACCCCAGGTAAAACAAATACAAAATAGTTGATTTTGTTCACTTTAACCCACAAGGCAGTAGAAGACAAATAAAGCTTAAATAATTTAAACACTGCTGAATTGTATGCATAGTTATAACTGGTTTATTAAATATTGGTATCTATATTGCTTTTATTCATGAACTATATGATTAATTATACTTAAAGGTGGGGTAGGTAAGTTTGAGAAACCGGCTCAAGATACACTTTTTGTTATATTCCATGGAATGTTCTTAACATCCTGATAGCAATGAATATCTTAATTGCTTTGACAAAAAATCCATTAAAAAAATGTATCTGTGGAAGCCGTAGTACTGTAAAAAGCACGACCAATCAACTGAGCCGGCCCGGCTAAAATAACTGGACGGCCTACCTGCCTGTCAGCCTTCCATCTGTGCACAAACTTATCTCGTGCCCTCATTGGTCATGTGCGCGTTCGTGTGTGTTGGAGGAGGGGCTCTGTAAGGAAGTGGCAGATTTTTTCCGGCTGTGTATTTTCACATTCTAGCGCACTCGAGCTGGTTTCTCCAAAATTACCTACCCCACTTTAAAAGAATTAAACGAGAGTTCACCAATAACAAAATAATATACCGACGAAAAATATAAAACTTTAACATGCAAATAAGACCAAACAAAACACAACATAAATAGAAAATAAAATTTACATGACATAAAATACAAAACACTCGACTCGACACACTACAATATACAATACATAGAGAAGACATGTCGTGAAAAGCCAGGACCTACAAAAATTTTCCTTTTTTTTGGGATTTTTATATTTATTTCAACCTAAACCCTATATTCTTGTGTATTCTATAAACCCTATACTTCAGTTTAATATGTTCAAATAAAAAGAAGATGACGTCACACCCATTTGTAACTTGATTTGACTAAAGTTGTACTACAAAAAGTACCTTTTCGAGAACAACGTTTTGTGGAGCTAGAAATATAAACGGTACAGTTATAATTGGTGTGTCATTGAGAACTAATAATATTAAAGTTA